GTTTCCCGCAGTGTGCGGTCAGTCCACGGGCGGCGTGGAGGACGAGGGCGAGTCCCAGGCCGGCTGGATCGAGGGCGCCGCCATCCTGTTCTCGGTGATCATCGTGGTGCTGGTGACCGCCTTCAACGACTGGAGCAAGGAGAAGCAATTCCGCGGGCTCCAGAGCCGCATCGAGCAGGAGCAGAAATTCACCGTCATCCGCAAGGGCCAGGTCATCCAGATCCCCGTGGCCGAGATCGTGGTGGGCGACATCGCCCAGATCAAATAYGGTGAGTGGGGCCGTGTCACGATCCGCTTAACTCAAGCGGGGGTCGTGAGAGGTTCGTTATCGGAATCTCAGTGTGCAAAAGAAAACGAGGGGCAAATATATCTGCTTTAAATAATCAGGAACAATTTATGTGGATATTTTGCGATAGAAGAGGGTGAGAGAGAGAGAAAGAGAGAGAAGGAGAGAGTGGGTTGTAGCTACCAACAATTCCGACGGATCTTCCGAAATTCCACAGGGGTCGTCAGCGTCCATTGGGAGAGATCTCCATAGGGGTCTTCTCGGGGAGACTTTTTATAAACTTTTTCAAAGTGAGTGGCTGCAAGCCAGGGCGGGGGTTACGAAGCATGAGCCGGAGATCTGGCTTCACCTTGATCCGGCTCGGACCCTCCCACCCCAAAGCAGGTGGTAGCAAGTCAGGGGGTTGCGAGGCATGGAAACCTGATGGAAACTTGTGGAGCATGGAGAGGATCGGTCAGGCGATGGAGAGGGAATGTTCTTTAAACAGAGCAGTCATCCATGGGGGGACTCGCTGTACCTGCCAGCCTAGAAGCTGGAAATCTGGCAGTCACCCCACCTTGATCCGGCTCGGACCCCTTCAAGAAAAGAGTCCCCCCTTTTCTTCCCCTCGGGTTCTCCTTTTTGGGATGTTCACTCGATGATCTTGAGATAGTCAAGGATCTTTAGTGYGGTCTCTTACAGGCCGGCCTGGAGGGTTCCCCTTTTTTCCCTGGGATCCTCCTCCCTTTTTTTTCCAGGCCTTTTTTTCCCAGAGGAGAAGCGTGAATTCCTGGAATTTCTCCCGTGTGGGAGATGGAGCTCGGCTCGGCTTCTCTTGAGCTCCCCCCACGGGGGTTTCAGAATTGTTTTCCTGATTTTGTGCCTGTTGGGGGAGAATTCTTTGT